CACTTGAATTAAGATTATAATATTTTAATTTTAAAGAAGACATTGGATGCAAAATTGGGGGGGCGGGATCGGGAAAGGTCCTTGAGTTGGGATTCGAACACGGGACAGCCGTAGCTTTTTTATTTATTTATTTGTTATAATTATTTGCGAATCGCGTTTGCTCTTTCACAGAAGAGAGGGGCGGGTGTGAGCAGAGCTCATTAGCATGTAAAGAGAAATGCACCGAAACCACTCGCTGTGAACAGAGCTGTTTTTGACAAGGTAAAAAGGGTATTGTTTTACATGACCACTGTGACCATTTTAAGAATACCCAATAGAATCATACCAACTTGCGGAAAATGGACATCCGATGGCCCCTTTGAAGCACAGCCACCACAAAATCAGACTTACTTTAAATCGGGGGCTCTCAAACCTGTCCATGAAGTACCCCCAGCACTGCATGATTTGTATGTCTCCCTCTATCTGACACACCCTCTTCAGGTCATGCAGTCTCCACTAATGAGCTGATGAGTTGAATCAGGCGTGACAGATGAGGGAGACATACAAAATGTGCAGGGCTGGGGCTACGCCAGGACAGGTTTGAGAACCACTGCTTTAAATTATTCTGAGGTTAAATACATATTTAAAATCATAACAAGAAATAGTTTAATAGCTATGATACTGTTTTTGAAATCAAATCTTTGCATAGCTATGACAGGAAACACTGAAATCTAACAATGCCTTAGAAAAAACAGTTAATCTTAAAAAAGTATATACATAAACCCTATCGGATAAGCATGTTATAAACTACTGAAACATTGGTGTTTCATATTTTAGAGCAGTCACTGCAATTTATGAAAGAACTCAATTAAATCTGTATGTGGGAGTGTGTGTGGAAAAATCAGACGTAACCCCCTTTGTAATCCTTAGCATTTTCATAAGTAACTGTAATTTAATTACACATTTTTTCTTAGTAACTGTAACTGATTACAGTCACTTTTATTTTGTAATTAAATTACGTAACGCCATTACATGTAACTAGTTACTCCCAACACTGGTAACACTCCAAAGAGAAAGGAACAATTGAAATAGCATCATATGACCCCTTTAAAGTTACTGAAAGAACGAAGATCTATCTATCTATCAATCTATCAATCTATCTATCTATCTATCTATCTATCTATCTATCTGTCTGTCTGTCTGTCTGTCTGTCTGTCTGTCTGTCTGTCTGTCTGTCTGTCTATCTATCTAT